TGCCATTACTGCATTTAGTTTAATTTCAGATCATAATTTCTGGAAAGGTTTGACACCTATTTCTTTGGTTGAACTTATAGAATCTTTCTCTTTAAAATGTTTCAAGGAAATAGGTTTCTTAAGTTCAGTCGCTCTTATCGTTCTTTCCAGTATTAAAGTGGGGAGAGCTTTCCTTCCTAACCTTTTATTTCAAGTAGTGTGGAATATCAACAACTTGATTGTGTCATTATTTTATCTTCTCGTTACATGTGCTATCCATTTTAGTTGTTGCTGCTGTTGGTAGTGCTCAAGTGATGTGGTTTCTCTTATTTGGTACAGTTCTTTGTTTTTGATTTTGTAGCGCCAGTTCACAGTGTTTAAAAAAGTATGGCCTTTGCCAAGACCGACATGTTTCACTCGCTCCAAGACATTTTAAGCACTGATTTTAGAATGCGGTTTTATACCATTGACACTTCAGATATTTCTGAACCGGTTGAGTACCATACATGGCATCTATATTTAAATTTCGATCTTTACCCCAAACAAAGTAATAAAGCAACTAAGACGCAAAGAGTTACAGAGTGTTAGAGAATGTTACATAACACTATTAAGGATACTGAAAAATAAAAGAATATTAATTAAGAAGATAACAGATAACGATTGATATGCATTTAAATTTTTCAAGATCAAAGTTGACTGTGAAGCAAGAAGTGTTCCACAAGCGAGATGTGCAAGAGAAGAAACTATTAGCAATTTTCGAACTATTTCAGACTGATGTTTTGGTTTTGTATCAATGTGGGGGGAACTGCCTTTGGCGCAACATATTCTATGTTTGATTTCGTTTTCACTTATACTAGATTTGTTATAACAGATCCACACACTGAAATATTTGAATGGGCGGCGATAGTTAATAATATATTGTATGGTATGACGTGATTTCTCGACGGGCTATTGCTCGTCGTATTGCTTGTTTAGCGGCGTATCAAGTCCTTATGGGTCATTTAATGCTGAAATTTAATTTTCTTGCGAGCATAGGTATGTTTTTTTTTACATTCATTGGTGGTAATTTTTTTTCACAAAAATATATTGCTAGTAGTTTTTAAAAAAAAATGTATTGCTGCTAATTTTTATTTCTATAAATATGTATATTTATACTTTCATAGTGTTTTGACCCCAGTTTGGGGGTTAACTATTTTCCCATAATTGGGACCCTAACAGGTGCTACAACAGGTGGACCTGGGAACAATAGAAATTAAGAGGTGGTTCCACGCTCCTCAAAACCATCTGATCAGAGACCTTAATGCCGGATGTAGTTTATCGTCATACCCAAGACGCTTCTCGAAGCGCTGATAGAGATGAAATTACAAACAATACATAACACTGTTTTATTGCGTTCGCATAAGTAAATAAAAAATACATCAAAATAGGTGGACAGTAGTGTGTATTGAGTTTTCTGCATTCGCTCGTAAGGTGTGTATAAAGTTTTAGTGAAAGTATTGAGAGATTTTCTTCTTCATTTCGAAGTTATTAGCTTAGAGCATTTCTGTGCTGTGTGTGTACAATGCAACACGTGGTTCACTTGGGACCAAGAAATCTCTCCAGAGGGGAATGGGACACGCCTTGTGCCAACGGCATAGCATGAGCAAAGAGATAGAGAGATAGGGATCGAGAGACACAGTGTGTGAGGTACAATGAATTTGTGCTGCCATTGCTTCAGTTACTTACGTATGCCAAACATGGTGTGCAGAGGCGGCTATATTTATTCCATTCCTTTTCAATTATCTCTCTATTCTTATATTCTGTGTGCTTTAAACAGTTGTACGTTATGCTTATAATTCTATTCTATTATCGCTCTATTCTTATATTCTGGGTGCTTTAAACCGTTATGTTATACTTATCATTCTATTCTATTATCGCTCTATTCTTATATTCTGAGTGCTTTAAACCGTTGTAAGTTATGTTTATAATTCTTTCCGTTTCTCCATATCTTATTCCAGAATACCATCACTTTTTTTTGTTGGTGTTCTTTTTCTCTTTTTTTTTTTTTTTATAGATTTCTCTATAAAATTTTACTCTGTTAGGTTTGAAAGTTTTATTTGTTTACAAAATTTATTTTCTTCCTCATATCTCCGATATCTTTGTACTTTTAGTCGAATACATTTTTTTATGATCTCTCTTCAGTTGGGGGTGACGTTATCTTCTTATATATTCATTTCCTTTTAAACAATCTTTTTTTTATTGGATTTCTTTTGATATTTCATCTTATATTACGCGAAACTTCAATCTCACCTCTATATCTCTCTGCCATAATGGCAATTTAATTCTATTTCTTGTTTTCTTCGCTTTTCTACGCTTTTGTTTTCCATTGATTTTATAAATCCTACAGTAGAATATCTGACTTCATTTAGAGTTGTGAAAATGGTGATAATTTTCTTTCAAGAAAACATTCGACATTCATTAACTAAACGGTGAGCTTTACAACCAGTTGAAATATATAAAATATTTCTCTTAAGACAGTTTTTCTGGGGGGGGGACTAGACTTCTCAAGTTGATGATTAAGCTGGAAAGCGATGGCATTGACGGGTAGACGGGTATACAGATGCTTCCCTGCTCACTAAAATTTTAACCTCTTCAACTTACATATCCACCCTATACCAACTTACCCATAATTACATTATTTTCATTATTCGGACTATATTTGTTTCAGAATAAAAATCAACCAACATGAAGAAAAGACTAAGCTTGACTCGCTGTGAAACATTTTTTTTAACTGAGTGTACTCACTTACCCGTTGTAAAACATAAATACTACATGGAAAGTAACATAAGAAAACTAGTTGAAAATACTGAAACTGTCAACATAATATCCTACCTTAAAGAAATAGGTTTATTCAAAAATATAAAACACTCACAATAGATCATCTATTATCTATAAAACATACGTTTACTCTGAAACTATAAAACTGTGTATATATAATTGCGTACAAATATTTAGATTTCGGCATTAAATAACCCATAGAGTTTGATATGCCGCTAAACAAAAAACAACTATATCAAACCTTATAGCATCCCCACTAATTAAGCCTCTATCTTTAGTGGCACCCGAGACATATATTGCGTAGATATGGCTAAAAAAGTGTACATATTCTTAATTCGATGAATAATTTTAATGTTTATATTTATCCTCTTTGGGCTGCTGTATTTTACATTTTTAACTGAATTTTTAATATAATTTGTCGTAAATTCTAAACAAATAAACGTAATCCAATTATTCTTAATTTTATGTCGAAAGTAATTTAACAGTTTCACTTGCTTATATGAAATATTTTTAATTTACACTAATCGATATTTCGCATTATAATTTATGACATAAAAAAGGAATAAAATAGTTCCTAACATACTATTTAAGAAAAGAACACGATGAAAGAAAAGAAAAAGAAAAAAAAGCCAGTCTTTAACAATGTTGTTAATTAAACAGAGAGTCTTTTCTTATTCTTTTTTCTCTCCGCCACATTTTCTGCATTATGTTTTCTTGAATGCGGAGACCGATAAACGTAATAAACGTTGTTATTTTTTTAGGCGTCTATTCTAAACATGGGCAACCAAATAAAATAACGTTTGAAATAAATAAAAAGAAACACACCTTGCATTAAAAACAAATACATTAATTCTTCAGAACGTAGTGAGAGTATAAAACGATTTTGCCCAAATGATTTTTAAACAGTATGATCATGTCTATCAGAAAACAGTTATCATCTTTCAAGACTTTTATGCTTAAATTTATTCTATCGTCTATTATTATTATTATTATTATTATTATTATTATTAGCAGTACGCAAACACAGGGATATTGGAACATAAATATATGAAACATAAATAAAGCAAGTCTTATAAGTGTATACCACGCACATGCATAACAGCCAAATATGCAAAATATTGTGACGGGGTTTGCCTTGAAAGTGAGGGGCAGTTAGAAATACCTTCAAGTCGGGTAACCCAGTGACTTTAGTCCTTCGACCAACAGTCTTCCAAAGTATCCCAAATTGCGTTACTGGTCTCATCCTGCTAAATTAATGGATGAGACCTAATCGAAAGCCGGTCATGATGTTCACTCACCACTCCCTCTCATGAGCAGATATCTGTAAGGCGACATACTCAGATGACGGTTTAAGGTCAGCCAAATAACAAGCAACTCTGTGACACTGAACGGGATATTTACTGGAGCCCGTGTTTATTCAACAAGGCAAAATATGTGCATGTTAACAACTGAAATCAATTAAGATCAAAATCAAAATATGTAACATCAGCTCATTTATTGTTATTTGTACCGTCTGAGTATTAACCATGTTGAATTAGATTTCAAATGGTCTTTGGAAAAAATTGTGTACCAGTCTCTTTAAATCACCATTATTTTCCCCATTATCCTAACAGATTTCGCGTTGTCTTCAGCCTCTTGTCAGTGGATACAGCCCCGACTGCTATCTGATAGGCCATCTTTTCCGTGTTCATGACTAACGCATCCGGCCTTCTTGCTTGGACGGGAGATTGTCGGAATTTCAGAGTACCTAAATGCTTTTTATTTTCCAATACAACATCTTGCTTTTTGTTATATTTTTCGATTGATTTTGTTATCGGTGTTGTTCTTTTTGTAAAGCGACAATTGTCTTTAAAATTATAGCAGATTCCATGACGAGAGATTTTTTTCTTTCTTTTATATTTCATCTCTTTTTTTTTTTTTTATCCATTCCGTCATGCTGTTACTTCCAGATATTTTCATTTTCTTCCTTTCCTTAATCATTCCCTCTCGCTTTTTCATTCTATCTTTTGCTTTCTCTTTCTAAAGTTTTATTTTTCTTAAATTTTTCTGGCGAATTGTCTTTACACTACATCTCTGCCTTTCCTCTTCTTTTCTCATGTTTTCTGTCTTTACTTTTTCCTACCTTTTGTTTTGTTTCTTTTATCATTTCTCTTTCGTTCTCTCGCTTACTCTTTCGATTTTATTTGTGTCTTTCGGTGAGAAAGACATAAATAACTATCTTTCTCAACCTTCTTTTTATCACATCGTCTTTGTATTTTTTCTTTCTTTCTTTCTTTCTTTCTTTCTTTCTTCATTCTTTTCTCTTCCACCCTCTCTCTCTCTCTCTCTCTCTCGCTTTCTCTTTTTTATTTTATGCTCTCTGTTTTTCTTGTTTACCTTCCTTTTTCTTTATTTCTATATTCTCTCCTTATCACCTTCCTTTTCTTCTTTCTTTCTTTCTTTCTTTCTTTCTTTCTTTCTTTCTTTCTTTCTTTCTTTCTTTCTGTCCTTTGCCTTTGTCTCTTTCTCTTTCTTTTTTCGTATTTTTTCAATCTGTCTTTCGATATTCTTTCTTTTTCTTGTGAAATCCTCCCATCCTTCATTTCTTCTTTCTTTCTTTCTTTCTTTCTATCTTTCTTTCTTTCTTTCTTTCTTTCTTTCTTTACTCATTCTCTCATTATCCTTTTTTCTTTCTTTTCTTATTTCTTTTGTTATTTCTTCGCCTTTTGTCTTTTGTACCAGCTACCTTTCTCTCTTCTTTTTTCTCATGCTCCATCTTTCTTTTTCTTTCTTTCTTTCTTTTTCTTTCTTTTTCTTTCTTTCTTTCTTTCTTTCTTTCTTTCTTTTTCTCCATTCACTCTTTGTCGCTGAATTATTATATCTTTCCCGATAAATGTATCTTTGATCTTTGTATTTCTGTTGTGATCACGACAACTTGAAAGCTACGTTTTCCCCAAGGTGCTAAAATAGTACCGAGAAAAGCAGGAAGATTACATAAAAATCAGGCTATAGAAAGAGTGCAGAGAAATGCAGTCTTCAACTGAAGTTGGTCGACGACATCAAAGTGACAAAAACGCCGCACAGTTTTCGATTCTTCACGATTACGTGTTCTTTTTATCAATTTAAAGAAACTTGCAGCTGTGGAGGTACAAGATGGCAAAAAGACTGCACACGTAAGCGTAGTTCTCTCGATGAATGTCGATCTACTGATATAAGTTTTTGAATCAAACACACACATACACACGCGTATATATACAAAAAAAAATGGCACTGAATGGTAACAGGCTGTTTCATCCATTAAATATGCAACAAACAACCCCGGACCCCCATCTAACACATTGAGACCATTACTCCCACACTAATGCATATATATAAAGTTGTAGCCTCTGTCTGCTGTTTGTTTGTTATCGAAAAACTCGCAGGGATTTAGAGATGGACCCTACCCACAACTATATATATGTTCTGAAACTACATTACCCAAGTTACTTCGATAAGTATATATTATTTTGATCAAAGGGGGTCTGCGGGGAGCAAAAACCCTCCAATAAATTTTTTTTCCTTATATTTAAATTAAAATTAAATTTGAACAAGGGAATAACAAATATTCAAAATATAGAAAGGAGAAAGCCTGAAGATGGAGGTTACATCAGCAAGATCATTGAGAAATATTGAAAAGCATGATTTTTCTCCACAAATTATAACAAAAATTAACATTAATCATCAAATTCTTGCAAAAAGGTGTCTGACACGCAGCAAGATGCGGGTAATTCGGCTAGTATATATATATATATTAAGAAATGGACAAGGTCCGACAATTTATTTATTAAAGACATATTTTTATGTTTAATGTTGTTATTTCATAGATACAAGTATTTAAGCAAATGCTCTGTTTATGATAAACAGTATTAAATAACATTTACCGGCCTGAATGTCCGAGAAATTTTCATAGAAAATTTTCGTTCTTTGACAGGATTCGAACCTGCATCCTATACGGAACCGTCATATACGCTGACGTGCCTTACCGCTTAAGCTACAAAGAACCAATCGGTAGACAAGGTCGAATTTACTGCTTATAAACTCCAATTTTCCATGAATCTCGTACATTCATAACTGCTCTGGCGTATCGAATGTAAACAAATGACGTCATATATTAAAAAATGGACAAGGTCCGACAATTTATTTATTAAAGACATATTTTTATGTTTAACGTTGTTATTTCATAGATACAAGTATTTAAGCAAATGCTTATGAAAATTTCTCGGACATTCAGGCCGGTAAATGTTATTTAATACTGTTTATCATAAACAGAGCATTTTCTTAAATACTTGTATCTATGAAATAACAACGTTAAACATAAAAAATATGTCTTTTATATAAAATATATATATATATATATATATATATATATATATATATATATATATATATATATATATATATATATATATATATATATATAAAATAAATAGTTTTAAGTTATGCTGCATATATGGGTTAAAGTGCTCAATGTAAGGGATAAAGCGCATGTAAATGTAAAAGTGGACACTGGGTTCAATACCAAGCGGCGACAATATGCGTTAAAAAATCACAATGCACATATCGCGACGATTGCTTCCATATATATATATATATATATATATATATATATATATGGAAGCAAATATATGGATATAGATCCGACAGTATGAAGAAAAATATACGGAAAAACAAGCAAAAATCCTAATATGCAATTATGCTGTTTTAGTGTTAATATAATGTCAACGTCGGACGTTTCGGTCTAGTCAACCATCTTCAGGACATATTCATAAAACATAATTAACATTAGACTATATTCAATTCAACATGAAAAGACGATGGACATAAGAGTAAGACTAATCACAACATCGCCGACGTGACGCCGACGTGATCATATTGAAACGGAACGCTGATCTTGAAAAAATTCAGTTATCTGTTTTGATTAGTCTTACTCTTATGTACATTTTTGTCTGTTTTTCCGTATATTTTTTCTTCATATATATATATATATATATATATATATATATATATATATATAGAGAGAGAGAGAGAGAGAGAGGTCAATATATATATATATATAAATTCCCAAGAGGATAGAATCCAGGTAGAACACAATGTCCAGGACAGAGTAAGAATATAATATAAATCATATATATCTTCAAATGGATAAATATAAATAAATATACGTCTAAGTGTTCAAATATAAAACTTAAATATATATATATATATATATATATATATATATATAACATGTATATATAACATTTTGCTTAAGAAAAACTGTACTCAATGCTAAAGACAACAGCTATGAAGTATATATTAAGAAATATACATAATACCCCATGCCGACACTACAACTCGGAGTTTCATGCTTAATTTGTTTTTGTTCAACAACCATAGTGTCCACTTGTGGTTTATACTGAAACTATGCTGAGGTAGGAGAGAGCACAGCATCTGGCGATACTATTCTGCAATTAGCCCAACTTCAACTACATGTAAATTCGAAAGTTAACTTTACTTATGTTACGACTTATCCCTAATCAGCAGGAATTTAGAATTAAATTATTTTTGGACATGCACAAGTTAAATTTAGAATATGTTTTATTTTTCAATGTTGATATGATTATATTTCAAATATTGCAACAAGCACATGCACTGGCTGAATCATCATTATCGAGTCAAAGACGGTTCTACACGTGTGTGAGAAATTTGCAATTATGAACGGAAGTTTCATCCTTCTTAACGTTCGATCATTTTTACAGTATTGCCCTAATAGAAATGTAGATACGACGTGCTTTTTTTTTGCTTTTTTGCTCTAACACACACACACACACACACACACACACACACACACACACACACACACACACACACACCTACAAACAGAATCCAAAGCGTTATAATATAGGTGGGCCCTTAAGTGTGTGTATTTGGACAACCTAAGTATGAAAGTTAAAGAACTGAAGATGAAGCAATTAATCTACTAGATTTTTTTTTCAAAAGAACAGCATTGTAATACATTTAGATATTTTATTACTTCAAGACTAATGGCTATAAATATATTCGGTTATTTCATCCTCATCATCTTTCTGCACTTTCGAAGACTTTGTTCTTGAACTGAAGGCTCTTCAAGAATTGCACCTTTACAGATCCTATCCTATAAGCTGTTATTGATGCATGTAATTCTTTATAATGTTCAACGCATGGAACAAACTGTTTTTCCCCAAAGTCTCTATCCTTGGTCCTACTTGCTTTTTAATTATCATCAACGAACTTGCAGATGGCATCAGCTCTCGAACATGGTATCTATGCTGGCGACACAACCATTTAATACTCAAAATTAAATTTGATCACTCCGATGAGGTCAAATTGGTGTCGGAGGTAAAAAAAAAAACAAGCTTCTCTCTGTTGTTAACTGGGGAACAGAATGGCTTGTTACTTTTAACGCATTCAAAATTAAGCTGCTCTTTTTTTAATCATCTGAGAGACAACCTTTCTGCTGTGAATCAGTCGTAAATTCCCCCCCTACTATATGCGCATATACAATAAAAAAAATCACAATTATCAATTACTTTAATTTTTGTCTTAGCAATTCAGCCCTGAAGATGTTCTCAGATGAGATTGAAAGTACTTGTAAAAAAAAAAAAATAGCCAAAGTTATGGTGTTTTTCTTACTCAGTTTTTTAACAGCACTAAGAAATTGATCCGTCGATTTGAGCGAATTAAAATAAAAATAGTGACATAATAAAATATGTCAAGATTATTCAACCAAACATGATAGAATGTATATATATATATATATATATATATATATATATATATATATATATATATATATATCATAAACCCATTTTAAACATAATTATATATATAGAGAGAGAGAAGCACACACCTATATATACATATATATAGAGAAAGAGAGGAGGGAGAGAGAGACACACACACGCACATATATATATATATATATATATATATATATATATATATATATATATATATATTTGGTTGGATAGATGTGAGTTTGTGACCCTGGGTTTCACGCTTTAGCGATCGTCAGACAAACTGATTAATGTTGTAAAAATTTGGGTTTATGTAGATTGCGTGTATTGGTGTTATTGTGGAAGTGGTGAGGGAAACTTCGTCGTTTTGTCATTCATCGTACTAACGCAAACATCGATGTATGCAGACACATATACATACTTGGTCGTCCGTCGGGACTCATACATATATAAACATCTATGGGCAGTTTCGGATATGACATGTATGTATACGGGTGGTGTTATATCTATACATACGCATTTATTTTGGTATAAATCCTGATAATAGGTATTCTGTGTAAAATTATGGTAGTTGAAGATTGCTATAATTTTTAATTTTTAATTACAAAATTATTATTGTTATTATATTAAAGCTGCCTGATAATAGGTGTTTATTCTCATGGTTACATATGGAAATTATACCTGATCATATTGTTTTAAGGTATTAAATATGCTGGGGGAGTAATAAAGATTGTAGTGGATTTATATGTTAATAGTGGGTGTGATGTGTAAGTGATGGTGCTGTGTGTTGGTGGTAATGATAATATTATTAGTTAATAGTTATTGTAAAGTGGTAAAAGTGATTACTAATGATGGTGCAATGATAATAATGATAGATGCAATTATTTTGATGATATCTTGAAATTAAATTGTGATTGTTGCTGGTTTGACTGTTTTATCCGTTTGGTATGAATTCGGATAATAGGTACTTGTTCTCATGCCTACATTTGGAGATTATCTCTGATTTTTTGTTTAGTAAATTCTTTTGCGGTTTGTGTGATATTATTGTTACTTCTTCATGTAGGCAAAGTAGGCATTTTTTCGTAATGTTGTTGTAGGC